TGGCAGTGGGTGATGTGAGTGGCAGTGGGTGATGGGGGGTCGCTCACCTCATGTCCACTGTGACACTGTCTCCTTGTCTCTCCGTGTGATTTCTGTCCAGGCCACTTCAGAGGGGTGCCCTGAGGAGCTCCCAGCCGGGTCTGTTGGGACTCCACTCAGCTCTGGGCAGCGTGGTGTTGGAGTTAGGCTGGGAGTGGAGCTGAGCTAAAACACATCCATGCTTACAGCTGATCCTTGTGCTTATCTGTCAGTGCAGCTCCTAACTGATAAGCAGAGTCACCTGTAACACCTTTTCAGCTGCCCTGCTTCCTGAAACAGCAGACTGTGGAAAGGGAAACCCAGTTCACTGCTGAGAACAGTTCAGCACCTGGTTTAGTAGCTTGTCCTTACTGGAGATAATCCCTCTCCTACCATCATGTTCTAGTTGCAGGGTCCCCACTGACTGTATTCTTTCCTTTTATATATATATATTTTTGATTGTTGTGGCCTTGTTGCTCAAAGGGGGGGAAAAATAGTCAACACCTGAGCAGCTTTTTTTAAAGGTTGGTAGTTGGTTACTCTCTGTGCCTGCAGCAGCAGCTCAGAGCTGTTCCCAGCCATCTGTCCCACATTCTCCTTGAGGCCTTGCACAGATAAGTACAGCTGAATTTTTTGTTAGCTTGTATTTAGTAGGGAGCATCAGAGAGAAAAATAACACTCGCTGAATGAGGACACAGTGGAGTGAAGAGAGAATTGTAGATAATACTTTGCATATTCACTCCCTTATGTGCTTGAATATTATTTTCACTTGACTCTTACACTCTGACCAGCAGAACACAGGGCTCTGCTGTCTGCGTGAAGGATTCCATGTCTGCTCTGTCCATAAACAATGTTCCTGTTTCCTTTCCCACCAGCTCCTTCAACAGTTCTTGTGTGGGAGGGTTTTGCCTTTTTCAGACCACATCAGCTGTAAAGATAGTCAGGCCTGTAAGATTTTTGTGAAAAGAATAAACATTTGTGTTTCCTCACACTGCTGGTGGAACGTTGGGCACTGACTGACCCTGCAGTTCAGTCCAGCTGGAGCAGCTGCCTTCAGATGGCGGCCGGTCTTCAGCTTTTCATGTGATAAATAGTTCAGGAGCATCTCTGGAGCTTTTTTTTTTCCCCATTTGTGTAGTTTTCACACAGCTTCAGCTCACGTACAGTTAAAACGTGCAGTTTCTTGTGAGCCTTTGCTGAAGCCTCCTGGATAACCCCACGGCATGTGCCCTCTAGGTGTCTTTGTCCGAGAGCGAGGACTCTCAGGACTCCTCGGACAGCATTGGCTCCTCCCAGAAGGCTCGAGGCATCTTGGCTCGTCGTCCCTCCTACCGGTGAGTGCTGCCTGGGACACACCAAAACAGCAACTTCTCCACAGCTTCACCTGCTCCAGCCTCGTTCCCTTCCTCAGCCAGCACGGGGTGGCTCTTTTTGGGCAGCAGGGGTCCCAGGGGTGCCACGGTAGCTGTCATCTCTGATGTGGTAGCAGGACAATTGGTTCATCAGCTGTGGTTTGAATCAGTTGTATCATCTCACCAAAATGAGGAGTGTAGTCAAATGCCACATTTGCAAATAATACATTTGTTAGAAACATAACATCTGTGGTTTTCAGGGGATAAGAGCTGAAAACCTGGGATTTGTGCTGATTTGCACGTGCTTTATAAATCAGTGACTTGAGTTGCTCTTAGCTCATGAAATGATTAAAATATTTAAATTAAAAACCAGGCTATATAAATTACAGAAATGTAATTACAGAAAGAGTTTGAGGCTGTCACCTCATAAAAAAATTTGATAATTCCAGAAACTGTAGTGCATCAAAACATTAGTGTTTATTTCTGTAACACAAAGCAGGGCTGGGCGTTTGTGAGTGGTGCTGCAGCGACTTGTGGGGTTTCCCTACTCCAGAGCTGATACAGAGACTCTTCTTTTTATAGCAAAATTTTGAAAGATCTTTCTTCTGAAGATACCCGTGATAGGAAAGGAGATGAGGAGAGTCCTGGTGTCTCCACTGTTACCTCCATGTCCGTTCCCACGCCCATCTACCAGACGAGCACTGGACAATACAGTACGTTGGACAGAATGTGTCCCAAACTGGACATGTTTTTTATTCATCAAAATACAGATTTTCTTTTTGTTATATATTTGAGTAAGAGGGAAATCAAAAGGTTTATTTACCCAACAGTCAGTAAAGTTGGTGGTCTTCTTCCACGGAATTGGAATGGTGTCTAAAAACTCCAGATAAACTCAGGTCTTCATTGGTTTAATTTTTGCATATTAAGACAGGACACTCGAAGGATGTTGTTATGCAAAATATGGCAGTTTTCTGCTGTCAGATTTAATCCAGAATGTAAGATCGGTGCAGATACAGTTATTTGTCTCTTAGGGCCCCACCAAAAGGTGTTCTTGTGCTGTCAGAGGTAACAAAACAAAGGATTTTTTCCTTTGATTTCATCAGCTCGTGGCCGTTGTGCTTGTGATGGCAAAAGCGACCTGCTCCGGTGCTGGAGCGCCTCAGCCCCAGCCTGGCTCTCCATGTGGGGTGTCCGTGCTGCTGTCTCTTCCCCCCTCACTCTGTGGCCTGTCTGTGGATTTTTGCCCTTTCTTGGGTATGTTTCCACGGAGGACCCCCAGCTGTGGCCAGCACGGGGCCACATGGAGCTGGTGTCTGGCACAGGGCCCTCCCAGAGGCCACCCCTGCGGCTGCCCCTCTACCCACACTCACCGCTTACACCCGGCGTGTTCAGTGAGGGCAGGACTGGAGAGCTGACAGTGATGGAAGCCAAAGACCCTTTCAAACCTGGCGGTGTCGTTCAGCGGCAGGAAGAGATCCGCAGCCTGTAGATTTACCATTATCCAACCCCTGCTGTCCCTGTTCCTCTCCTCGCAGTCGCCATCGCCGCCA